CCCCCCCCCCCCCCCCCAAAAGTCCGTTCTTGAGAGTCAGCTAAATCAACTCATAGTTGTATGAGAAGGAGATTATACATCTTTGGAACATCTCTCACAGGAACCATGAAATCAACTTTTTAAGCAGATGAGGACTGTAAAATGTACTCTGCCTTGAACAACTTATCAGTCAGAATTGCTCTTAGGGTGGGAATTATTCAGGGAAAAGACTGCCTTCCCTGCATTTGCCCAGACTTAGCATTCATGCTTATTTAAGAGCACATGAATGACTCTCATTGAGGACTTCTGTGGGTATTATTACTGTGATTTAATGACGATGAAAACGCAGTGACCACATACTATTTTATGCTGTACCGTACAAACACGACGGGATATATTTGATTTTCTGACATATCATCTGCCAGGAGGTACTGCCAATGACACTCAGACTGCTCAAACTCTTCCCAGTGTTACAGGTGTTCATGAAGTCCACAGAAACTGTGTATGCATAAGCATGATGGCATGGAACACCAGACGTGATTGTAAAGATAAGGTTGTAAAAACACAGAATAACTGCATTATATATGAAGATAAGCGATGTTTGAAGAGGATTTGGCAAGTACATTCTACTCAGCACTGCCAAACGTCTGAGGCAAAGTCCCACATGTTGTAACGAAGAAAGCCAACTAACCTATCGCTAATACACCAAACTGTGAGAACCCAGAATGGACTAAATAAATAATAATGAAGGATTGTCCTTCATAATCACAGCTTGATTAACAGCTGAATGATGAAAATGTCATATCTCAGCTAGTATTATTAAATAAGTTTGTTAAAAATCCATTAGAAAATCCTAATTTGGTGCCACTCAATAAAAACATCCTTCCTTTTGTACATTTACTGGTAATTAACATTTCTTTAAGTAGAATAATCAGTTTCTATTAAAAACCCAAAAGGTTTGTTTTTATCAAATGAAAAAAACAATCCAAAGCATTTAGGATGTTTATGTATTATTTTTATGTTTAGCTTGTATTATTTATGATAGAATAGTGAAAAAACAAAAGCATTAAATAAGAAAGATCTCTGCTTTCCATCAGCTTCAAGCTCTTCCTTGAACAAATAATCTTCAATTCCATAGAACGGATATTATTATTGAATTTTACACAAGCTAAATCAATGTGGTTAAAAAATATTAACACAAAAATTATAATTACACAGATATTTCTGTGTCCTGCTCTCTAAATTTTCCTGATACCAGGAGAAACTCAGAGCTGTACTGGCAAAGCAGAGCTGTTTGCCTTTGCAGTGTAGAGAGCAACTGTGTAAAACCAAGCTGTATTTCTACAGATATTGCCAAATTCTGGATAATCATGAACTGACAGCACAGGCTGCACGCAGGACACCAGTAGAATTGCTTTTGCTTTTTCCTGATAAACTGTATTAAGAGCTTAAATGCTCGATTAATCCTTCTCAGACAAGCTTAAAATTCCCAGTTTCTACTCTAAGTCATCTTGTGCAAGGTTGTTGCAAAAACTCCCAAATCAGTACAAGCTCTCACAGCTTTTATTGCAATAATTAACACCCCCCAGCTACTCGACAAAAGCATAAATAATTTTGAATGCTTTGATAAAGGAAAATATACTGAAGTAACCCCAGAAAATGGGATGGTTAAAAACAAGTGACCATCTGAAATCACAAGGCCAGGCTTTTCCATACCTCTCTCCATCCAATGCAGTGCTCTTTCTGTATCAGTAAGTGAAACCAGAACAAATGATGAAATAAAGCCAGTTTCTACTAAAAAAAATTAAGACCTTCTTATGAGCAGCACTGAGCTTACTGAGAACTGAGCACACGGAGCTGGATCTACCCCTTCCTCAAGAGTTAATAGCTCTGTTCACTTGGCACCGACCCCAACCAGCAGCTCTGAACTCCTGGTACAATGAAGATGCCTATAGCACAGTGTCTTCTTTCCCATCAGGTGTATATTACATGGAATATGAGCTATTTGCTGCAGTAAGTTATTGCATAATTTTAGTTTAGTACATTAAAATGGTACTGTGAGGTGCAACAGAAGAATATGCTGATTGTATATGGTGAACATTATGAATATTTAAAAGCTATTTGCTTTATAGTGTTTTACCTGTTAAGGAGATGATCCACTACTGCACAGCAATAGCTGCCAAATATGTGTTTCAATGATTAAATTGAACGTTGTTAAATTTATTTAATATTATTAGATCTGACCTACTGAATATACATTCTTGCTCTTTCACTATGTCATTTTTCCCTAGTGGCCTTCAGTTCTTCTTTGGTACAAGAGACCTCAAAAAAAACGTATGATTCTAAAGGTCTGTTCATGTATTAAAATTTGGAGACATTAACTCAAATAAGTAACCATAAAGCATGTATATAAGAAGCATCAGCAATGCTGCTCCAACTTACAGTAAATATAGTCGTGATTCAACTACCCTCAGATCTTAGTTTCACCATCAAGTTAGGGAAGGTCCTAAAGCTTCCCAGGGTACTAGAAGCCTAATAAATGTGGTACAGTAAGGCAAACTAATCTTTTCCCCCCTCCTCCCACTCCCATTTCCCTCACTGTTAAGTTCATTATTGTACGGCACCTTTTATTAAGGTCTTTACTATATGCTGAGATAGGATTTCC